CAGTAGTCCTGCCCGAGCTCTCATCTGATATTTCAAGCACAGTTTGTGCACTGCTGCACACAGCCTCCAAAGGGCTGCCCCAGCTTGGGTCATGAACCCGCTGGTTGTGGGGTGCACGGTCTTGTGCTGGCCCAGCAGCTCCCACATTGCTTTCCAGGCCAGCAATCTACACTGCTATTCTTCTTACAGCATGCTGAGGAGCAAATCTGTATTTTCTTTGTGATCCGGATATTTGAGAGGTTTTATATTTATTAACTTCCCCTGTTTTTCTGTTCTAGACATGCAGTTCTCCACGCGATGCTGTCACTACCCACATTCTCCATCTAATCCTTCTCCCCAGAGTCCCCTCCCACAAAATGGCTTCTGGAAGTTTCCATGCTTGTAGGTGAAAGGGAAGCTCGTTAATCTGAGGGATGATCTTAGCTTCATATGGGAAGTATTCACATTCATAGTGCATTGCCTTGAGGCAACCCTTGAAGAGTTAACTAGTACCTGTGAAAGATTTTAGCCTGCAGAAAGCTGGTTTCAACCCTTCAACCAGAGATTAATATTTTACCTTAATTGAACTTACTATTTTTTTAAGTATCTGTAAATTGGAGTCTTTCAATTCGTTACGTATCGTGTGCAATCAGCTTTCCTCTCTCATTTCTAATGGAAGACAAGGGACCTGTTTGGAAAGAAAAGCCACTGAGGCTGTGGAAATTATGGCCAGAGATTTGGTGTAGAGCCTGCTGCCACCTTCCCTTCACCAACAGCTTTTGCTGCCTGGTGGCACCGGGGCTGCTGGAGGCTGCCCTGAGCTCCTCCCTGGGGATCCTGTCCCAGTGCCCAACCACCTCTGGGTGCAGAACCTTTCCCTAACCCCCAGCCTGACCTTCCCCTGTCCCAGCTTCATGCCGTCCCCTCGGGTCCTGTCGCTGTCCCCAGAGAGCAGAGCTCAGCGCCTGCCCCTCCGCTCCCCTCCTGAGGGAGCTGCAGGCCGCCATGAGGCCTCCCCTCAGCCTGGGCTGAACAAACCAAGGCAGCCTCCATCTTCCCTGTCAAGGTGGTCAAAGAGAAAGCAGTGAGGTTGCAGAGGATAAATCTGCTCTCAGGAGCAGAAAGTGAAGCCTCCAAGGCAGCTTTCCCCTCTGCAGTGCATGTGAAGACTCATCCTTCTTTCCATGGGTGTGTTCAGACAGCCATGCCACACAGGGACAGCTTTGATCACTTCTGCTGTGTTAGAAGCACACTCCTAGCCCAAATGTTGTTGCCTCCTGTAGGAGGAAAGCAAAATCATGGGAAAAGATCTTAAGTAAGATTTCCTGAAGGGAAAGTTCAGCTGAAGGAGACCTCAGCTTGGCTGTACAGTCTGCATGTGGGCACAGGGTGGCTTCACATAAGTCTGTGAGGATATTTGACAGGCACTTTGGATATCAGTCACCCGTAGCCTTCCACACACAGACAGGTCTGGAAGCATGGCCTCTGCTCAGAGTTGAGGGAACCAAGCTGCCTGCCCCTTGTTTCAGGCTGCCATTTATGTTCCAGCCATGTGGTGGCTGTCACAGGCAAAGATCTCAGAGCTTTCCCCCAGATGATGTCCACCAGCTCAAGGAAGGACTGTGACAAGGTGCAGCTATTCCCCAAACCCAGGGGGACCACCCTCAGGGCAGGATGAGCCCCTCTTGTGGGGTGTCCCTCCAGGAACCCTCATTTACCCCCCTGAGCTGTGGGTGCTTTCATAGCAGGGCTGGGTGGGCAGGGATGCCCTCCAGAAATCATCAAACCTGCAGCACTGCCTGAAAACACACCAGGTTTTCTGAGGACAATACCCCTTTTATCGGATCCCACACTCGAGCTGACCCTATGGAGGATGAAAAGATGGGGACAGCCTTGATTCAGTGTGATAATCCAGGTCAAATCTCTTGAGAAACCCCAAAATGTGTCTGAAGTCATATGTGGCTGCAGATCCCTGCATGGAGCCCTTCTCCAAATTAGCAGAGCATTACCAGGCCAGGAGCAGAGGTTACTCTTTGTTCTCCTCCCAAAGGAAGATAAAAAGAAGGTAGGAGAAAGAAAACAAAGGGCAAAAGCACAGCTGTTTCCTTGCTTCTGTTTTTCTTCTTTGACAGCAGCTATTTTTGGGATCTGAGCTATGTTTTGTTCCCATTTTGAGCTACCTGAAATGTTCAATTCAGACTGTCTTTGGACATGGCTTCAGGGAAAAAAAAAAAGAAAAAAAAAGAAAAAGAAAAGGGGGAAAAAGAAAAACCAGCTGTTTAAGCACATTTTTAGAAAAGAGGGAAATAAAAACTGAATTTATATGTTATACAGGAGCTAAGACTGTGATACTAACATGACAGCCATCCTGGCAATCCCATTTTGTGATACCACAGGGGACCAAGTTTCCAAGGAAAAAACATTGCTGGGGAAGAGAAACCTAACAACAGCAATACAAAATGTCCTTTCTGCTGTGTTCTGCTGCCTTGTTAGCTCAGTTCTTGGTAAGGGGAAAATAAAAATATACTTGTGTGTCCTTGGACTTTAAGGCTAGGGTTATCCAGCCTAATGAGGAGGCTTGTTCACTACTGGCCCCTTTGTTGCTGCTTGAGGTCTTCCAGCCCCTTTCCATGAGGTTCATGGGTGCTCGGCTGAGCAAAGCCAAAAGCTGTTACCGAATTTGTCCTTGTGCCAAAGAACAAGGATGCACATGTTCTTCTCCAGCCAGCTAGTCAGCTTTGCTCTTAATCCATCAGTGGCTATGAGGAACCTCTTTAGGATCTCCTTTGTGCAATCTGCAGTCCAGCTCAGGAACTCCTCGCTGTGTTCTCTTGGTGGTGAAGCCATCCATGTAAATGTGTCCAGAACGGCCAGTTTGTAGAAGCAATGTTCTATCAAGAGCCATTAAGCAGAATAATGAAGAGTCAAACTTTGCACAAGTCATGGGAGAGACTTCAAATTGATGGAATCATAGAATCATCTAGTCCAACTGTCCCCCTACCACTCATATTGGCCACTAAACCACATCCCTAAGTACCACACCTACCCTTTCCTTAAACACCTCCAAGGATGGTGACTCCACTGCTTACTTCCCTGGGCAAACCTGTTCCAATGCCTAATTACTCTTTTTGAGAATTTTTTTTCCCCCTAATATCCAACCTAAGCCAGAAGAGTAAAACAAGGTGACCATCAGCTGTACAGGTCGTAGTCTTTCCTACCAGCAATTCTGGCTCCTGCCTGATCTTGGTGGACCCTTGGTGTGATCCGAGGGAGCTGTTGCATCAAAAAAAAAACCTTATGACAAAAAATCTAATTAACAATATGGCTGTAACAGCCCAGGTGGCCTGGAAATAGAAGTCCTAGGGATGAATCAAGAGGAGTTTCCCAGGGCTGGGTCACCTGTTCCCAGAGATGTTGCAGCAGGGCCTGGAGGAAGGCTGGGACAACACAGCTTGTCCTAGGAGATGCTACCTCCACAGGCACTGTACGAAGGCTGCCATCCCCTGCAACACCTCACCCCAAGGTACCTGCTTGTTTTTGTTCCTTGTAGAGGCCACAAGGTCTGTCGAGAGGGACCCATCTTCAGGGTTGAGCACAATGGAGCCCTGCTTCATCTGAGGAGCCAATGCACCGCCAAAGGGGGAGGGGGAATATTGCTTTCTTTGGGAACAAAAAAAACACAACACAAGACAGGAGCAAAACCCAAGTAACCTTGGTTACCAGAGTTTTATTTGTGGTAAGCAGAACAGATGATAGCAAAAGTCCCTTTCTTATGTCTGTACTGAGTACACAGTGTACCCAGGGCTGGACAACATCAGAGCCAGGGCAATGAAGATTTTTGGTACAGCAAGTAAAAGTGTTGGAAATGTGATGTCATGGTTTTAGCATCACTCCAGTGCTCTTGGCAAGTCTCTGCTAAAGGGTTTGTCTCTTAGGTACAATAGGAAGTTGTTCCTTCTCTCCTTTGTTCTTGTCCAACTCGTGCCCCGTGACAATTTGTTTTTGCAGCCCTAGAGATGAAACGTCTTTGGCTACAGTCACGAAAATGCTAACAAGGTGTCCATGGTTGGATAGCTTTGTAAAATGGGTTCGTAGCTTAAATCCTTAATAATGTGGGATTTGGGAGATATGTTTGCCTGGTGCTTAGCCTACCCAGGAGCTAATCTCTCAGTCCTGTTGTTATAGAAATGCCCTTTGCAGCTTTCCCACCAGCTTTCAGTTCTGGAAGTCCTCCCTCCTGCTGGGTAAAAAAATGCCTGCTCATCACTTCCTCCCTTTTTTTCTGCAGGAAGGGGAGCTTCACAACCAGAGTAATTTGTGCAATTTCCTTGGTCTTCAGAGATTTTCCAGATTCATTTTTTCCACTTAGCTCTGTGTTATCAATGTTGTATTGCCAGTCTGGAGAGGACAGCACCTCTAGCAGGGAGTTGTTTACCTCCAGTCCCTCTTGTACCCCAGCCTGCAGAGGTGCAGGACACAGCTGAGCTTGCTCTGCAAAATATTTTTAACCCTCCCTCCTCCCAGGCAGGTCTCCAGGGACTTGCTGAGCAAGGTTGCTCTCACTTAAATGTCTCAGGTGGCTGCATGAAAGAGCTTAGCTCTGCTTTGAGACGCACCCTTCTTCCATACATTTGTCTTGTTTGTACCCATTTTTTTTTCTTGCATTTTTGACATGAAATCCCAGTTGTCAGACCAAAGAGGAAAAGTTTGCAATTACCCTTGAAAGTGGATAATGTTTCATCTTGCTGGGTTTTGAAGACACTTGGACAATGCAAGGACTGTTTTACCAGCCACGCTCTCTGACCCGATGGATCAAAATACAGCAGTTCTTGTGTTGTTATCATACTCACTGTGGGACTTCTCTGACCACAAGCAGCCATTTCATCTGCTCTGTTTTTTCGAAGTCAGTGATTCCTACCCCAGTACACATATCCTGATATCCCCACAGATTGTCCTACCCCCAATACATAAGCTATAAAAGTAACACAGGACAAAAGGGCATCCAGGCTGCAGATGGGCCAGGCTGGTTCATGGTGTGCATGAACACGCAGAGCACACGTGGTGCATGTGTACAACCATGACCTGCTCCAAGGGTGGCAGAAGCTTCATTATATTGTCATGCTGACTTGTTGTACCACAGCCTCAGCATGATTTGGTGGTGTGGGAAGCTCATGGATGCTAACAGAGCTGTACTCCAAGGTACAACTCATCCCAACTACAGCATGCACTTAGGAAGACTTTTGCTCCTACCCCAGTGTCCTGATGTTCATGTGCTGCAGTCTGGCAGCTAACTACACATTCCCATGCATTTCTGGAAACTCCTACACTCTCATTCCCCCCAAACAAACTCACCGAAAGCCAAACACAAGTTGGAAAGAATGGTCATCTCAGGCTTTAATAGCACCGAAGCAAAGAAGCACAACAAGGAGCCAAAGAAAACACAGCTTGTATAGCCACTTCAATGATACAGACTCACTGGATAAACTAAATAAATATGAACACAATTCACACTAATGACAATCTTAACAGGGATATAGCACAGGGAAATATGTAAAGCCAAAGAGTTTGGACACTGTGTTTGGTTGACATCACATACAGCTCCATAAAGGAAGACAAAAGCTCACTCCAGGCTCACGGGATCCCAGAATGGCTGGGGGCAGAAAGATCTCCGTAGGTGATCTGCTCCAAGTCCCTATCACACAGGGACACCGCGAGCAGGTTGCCCAGAAATGCTGCTCGGGTTGGTGACTGCTGCCTTACCTTGCTCAGGAAGGTTTTAGTCTGGGGGGTTCATGTTCAGCTCTTCCTTCTCTTACCTGCCTTGATTTTGGTTGTAAAGAAGCCACTCAGTCAAGAAGGCTTGTAGAGCTGGGTGCAGCCTCCTGGTTTTGGCTGTCCACAGCTCCGTGCATGCCTGGAGGCCTCCCAATGACTTTTTGAACCAAGTTAGCTCAGAACTAGGTGTGTTTTGTAGCTCCAGGTATGTGTTGTAATCTATCTTTACCTAATTTAATCCTGATGGGCAGAGGGAGTGAGAGGAGGAGAGACATACGGGTTTGTTCTTTCGCTTATCATTGTGTTTTCATGAGTGATGCTTGCTCCAGGGCTGTTATTTTTGGAGAGGTGGTGCTCGTGTTTATTGTGAAGGCACTTAGAGCTGGGGGTGCAGGCTTTGAGGTATGTAAATCTAAATAAGAATGACATTTAAAATAGGTTGCATGCTATACCCAAGCATGCATAGAGAGGAAATATGAGTAGATTGACTTCAGATCCTTGAAGTGAAAAATTCCCTGTGGGAGTATCATTAAAGTTCTCAGCACCTCCAGGTAATTATATGCTGACATAAATTGTTTGGACCCCAAATCAAGGTAACTCTAATCTGGACCTCATTATGATGGATAAAGAGGAGTTAATCACTGGGCTGGAAGCTGGATTTTCCCCGGGGGCTCACGATCATGACCTGCCTGCTTAAATCGGGCAAAGATGGGACAGTTTCAGCTCGCAGTGTTTGCGCACGCACAGATACGTAGAGTGGCTCAACAGGGTTAGAGGGGCACAGCTGAGGAGAGTTAGCAAGAAAGCTGGCTGAAAAGGAAAAAGAAGACATGGAAAGGAAGATGGCAATGGGAACTGAGAGTCGTGTCTCTTGTCAGTCATTTTCGTTTGCCAAGCCAAAATTCTGCCACAAAGTTTAAAAAAAAAAAAAAAGACTTAGGGATTGAGCTCTGCAGATTAAAATTTCATGGCCAGTGCTATCCATGGGCAATGCAGCTTGGAGGGGAAATCTGGGAAGTTGCCCAGCAGCATCCCCACTGCTCAGGGAGCACGACGTGGTCAGAAGACTATTGCTCATGAAGTAGGGGTAAGTCTGGAGGACAACTCCGATTGCCAGCAGCTTTCGGGGCTCTGACCCTCGGGGCTGGGCTCTGGGTTGTCTTCTCAGCCTCACAGGGAACAGGATTTTTTGTTGTGTTTATTCTGAAAGACACAGGGGGGAGCTGAGGCACATTGCACGTCTCCTTCCCTTATCCATCCGAGTGGATGGCCCAATGTGGACTACCAAAATACGGGTCAGAACTGGATAATCCAGGGATCTGTACTTCTTAATTTTATTTATTTATTTTTTTTTAAGTTCATGGGCAAGAGTTTAGCCTGTGTCTGCTACTGGTGCTTCCCTTCCTTCAGACCAGTCCTCGTGTTTTGTTTTCAGAGGACTCTTCCAGCACATCAGCGTGGTTCCAGTGAGTTTGTTGTCAAATGCAGACCTTGACACAATATCTACATTGCCTGATTTCCAGGCCCCGAAAAGTTTCAAATCTATTTGAATTTTTGCTACAGGTTAAATTTAAATTGCTAGACCTGAAGAAAGCAAACGACCCCCTCCCCTATCTCTTGTGCAGTATCCAAAAATAACCCACGGTTCTTCCGTATTGCAACCAGAATCCCCATTTCAAGCATCACTCCACGCCAGGCACGGAGAAGTATTTCCACTGTGTATCTTCCAGCCCATGGCCTCTAAATTTATCCCAACAGTGGCACCGCTTCGTGCACCAGATGATGCAACTGCAATTTTTGCCTTTTTCTTTAGATTCTCACAGCGTGTTTTCTTCAAACAAGAAGTGTCATCTGTTCTCCTGGATGCTGCGAGAGCCCTGCCCGGCGTTGCCGTCTCCTGTTTATGGTGCCTTGCAGCATCTGCCAAAGTTTAAGAGCAGTTGTCTGCGCTTTCCACTCTGCGGTTAGAAGCTTTGGCTACAGAGCCACTTCCTTGCCTGTTCCCTCTCTTAATTTCAAACCCTCGGAGCTCTTAAGTGTGTATCTACTTGTCATCCTTGATAAAGAAGACCTGGAAGATGTTTTAAAGACATGGCTGATAAAATGCAGCATCTCTTTCCTTCCTTTCCCCTCTCCTCTGCCCAAGCACAGGTTTCCTCTGCGAGGAGGTCTTGGTTGCTTTACTATATATTTACATTTTTAAAATCTTGCTACCATCTGATGCTCTTGGCTCCAGCTTGGGCTCTTTTCTGTTGTTGTTGTTATCCTCTCAAGAGAAAGAAACTATGCGGGTTTCCAAGTTCTTGAATAAATGTCAAATGAAACATTCCAGACAATTATTCAAGCTGGTAATAAGCAGTGAGACATCCTTCCTGTAGAGAAGCTGAACAATGGTTTCCTCTGACAGAAGCAAAATATGAGGAGCCTTCCATATGTTGGTACTGATTTGAGCGGCGGCGAGATCTCCGAGTGGGATAGGAGGCCCCAGCATGTATCTGGATATCCTGCGGGAAGAAAAGCTCTGCGTGTAACACCCAGACTCCCCCCTGACATGCCATAAAGTTCTGGGAGATTTCTCCACGTCTCCTCAACATCCTTCAGTTTTAAGAGCTTGTGCTTCCTTCCCTGGCTTTTCAAACCCTTCCCGGCGCGTTACCCCGAACACCCCAGGGAGGCAGGTGGGCCACCTCCCACCTCAAACCCCAGGAGGACCTCCAGGGAGGAGCAGTGCTGGCTGAAGCTGGCCGCCAGTCTGATCGTTGTCCCCGCAGCCCCGCTGAACACATCCCCTTCCCAAACGGCGCTGGGGGCGAGCTGCAGCACCGTCTTCTCTTGCCCAAGGACTGACAGCCTTGTGGGCTTTTGGCACCTTCACCCTGAACCGGACCCAGCTCTGCTCCTGCAGCACGCCCGTGCGCGGCTCCAGCAGCACGCACCCTCTCCTCCACAAGCTGTAGACCTTGGGGAAAGGAGGCCAGCAGGGCTCAGAGAAGCAGCGTATGATATAGTCACAAATATGGGAGAACTCCTCATTGTCCTTGTTTCTCCCAAAAAGCCCCACTTTGTACACGCCCGGCTCGGGGAGCACGACGCACACGCTGATTTTGGACTTGAGGTGGGTCACCAGCACGTACCTCTCCAGGGGGTACTCGCTGCTGCTGGTGAGCTTGTCCTTGCTCAAGCTGGCCATCACCTCGACGTCGGCGGGCGCGTGGAAGGTGATGTTGCACTTCCCCAGCTTGGTGGTGATGATGGGGGCCGAGTGGCTGGGGTTGGAGAGGCCGTGGCTGCTGGAGCTGAGCCCGCTCCCGCAGTGCAGGCTCAGCCCCGAGGGGAAGAGCTCGTTCTGGTTGATGGGTCCCGAGCAGTGGAGGAGGAAATTGGCCGCGTTCCTGAAGGTGGTGGTGCCCCCCACGTCTTTCACGAACACGGAGAGTCGGTAGTAGCCCTGGAAAGGGCAGAGCACGTGGCAACTCAGTTTCTCCTCCTCAGCTTGAGCGGCCAGGCATTTCTTGCTCAGAGCAGCGTCTAGATCCTTATGAACCAGCTCATACGTGGCAAGCAAGGCTCGGGATGTCTGCAGGGTCAAAAGCAAAGTTCCCTGGGGGGCAACGAGCAGCTCCCCTTTGTAGCTGCTGTCCTCAATGCCAAAGTCTCTCACCTTTTGGTGGAGGCCCCAGAAATGAAACGGGTTTTCAGGCAGGGTCTCCCCGTTGCGCGGCTCCGGGCACTGAATCCGATAGGAGCACACCCAGTTGTAAGGGCCCTGGGAGTCGGCGTGGCGTGCGAAGACCATGAGGTCGAACAAGCCCTTGGTCGGGGGAGTCACCTTGATGGTCACGCTGTTCTCAGACACCACCATCATCCCGTGCGCTGCTCCCACGGCCTCTCCGGTCTCGGTGCCCTGCGCTTTGGAGAGCTGGTAGGTGAACTCTGTTGGGTGGGTGCTCCCCAGCGTCACTGCTGCCTCCCCACGGGCTGTAGGAAAGTGAACAAAACGCCTTTTACAATCCTTTCATCAGCAGTGCAACACACTCATTTCTCAGCACAAGATCTGCAGTGTGGACTCAGCATGGACCTCATCTGTGCATGTGATGGAGACCCAATTTTCCCTCTTACTTTCCCTGTGGACAGACCTCAGTGAGATCCTTCCTCACCTTCTACCATTTTTTCCCCATTTCTGAGTAAAACGATGATACCACTAGATCTAGAGAGGAAGAGGATAGGTACACATAATTATTCTTTGGGTCTCAAGACACCCAAAACTCAGTCAATGTCCCATATGGAGGTGATTATTCCATGGTTTCTTGAGCTGCAGTCATTCCTCTAAGCTGCAGGTCTTGTACTGTGGTGTCAAACCAGCAAAGCAGCTGGGAGGATCAAAATTTTCCAGCCTGGCTGGTAGGAGATCCCACAACGCTGCCACATTTTAGGAATGAGTTTAATTTTTTCCATAATTATTGCTATAATATTTTTCTAAAATTTGGCCTCGCAATAAATCACAAACATCCACGAGCTTCTGGTTTGGCGCGTGCCCTAGCTGGGCAGGAGGGGAGAGGAGAAAGTGAAGAGAAAAGATGCTTTGGCACTGGTACCTGCTGGTGGTACCAGGGCTGGTGGATAAGCTTGGGGGCTCTTTCCTTGGGATTTTTGCTCTCTGGGGGAGAACTCAAGCAGGTTTCTCCTTAGGGCCACCATGCAGCACTCAATACCTCCCTGGTAGCCAACTCACTGCCCCAGGCAAGGCACAGGAGATGGCTTTAAGCCAGTCTGAACCCTGCTTTGTATCCAAAAATGAAGCACGGCCACGGGAGGTCACCATGGAGGAGCAGAGTCACTGCAGTCCTAGTGTCACCACTCCCTGCGTGCCATGCCGTACTGCTCATAAACCCCTATCCCAGTCAGGGAGAGCATTTTTAGTGCAACAAACCCTTCCCCAGGGCTCTCTGTCTGCTCCTGGGCAGAAGGGATGGTTGGTTGGTTCTGCAGTGGGGAAGGGACAAGGTTTCACAAGCCTTGGTCTTGAAGAAGACAGAACCATCTCACCAGCAGGCTGCTATCAGCATGTGTAGCCACAGGTCCTGGGGCAGCCTGGCTGTAAAACCCACGTTGAAAGGTATTTTTTTACCCTTTTTCTCTAGGTGTAAATGAAAGCATGAGAAAAAGAGCCACGGAGAAGGAGACTTGGAGTCCTTTTGCCCTTGGAGGATCTCAGCATGCTTCCCAGCCCCTGCCACTGGCACGCAGACCTACTGAGATGCATGCTCAAACCCACCAGCATCAAGGTCTGTGCAAATCGAGCCTGCTCTTCATTACACAGGGACCCCGAGTGCCCGAGGGGGACTCATCTCCTGTCCCGAGCGTGGCTGCTCCGCGCCGTCCCGTCCTCACCACAACATTTTTGCTGGAGAGAGGCGAGCCCCGTACCAAGTGCTGGCACCCCGCGGGAGCCCACGGCTGGTATCGGCACCGGCGCTGTGCACAATGTTCATTTGTTTGGGGTGCTAACACAAAATGACAAAAGCCTCCAGATTCATGCTGAAAAAAAAAAAAAAATCGTCTCTTGCTAATTATTAGATTACGAAACATGTTTCATAATCTAATGAATAATGGTGGGGGGGGGCTTTTTCTTTTTTTTTTTTTTTTTTCTTTCCCTGTTTGAATCTGGATTTTTTCATTGTTTGCCCCAGAGTTCTTTTTTGGTAGGTCGAAACAGAGATGTGAAAAGAATGGGAAGGCTGGGTTTTATTTGTGCCTTGCCTGTTAAAGCTGTGACTTGGCTCACACAGTAAGTGCAAACAATTCTCTCCTGGCAAGTGTTCAGTGGAGACATTACTGATGACAGACTTTATTAACTGCAGGTTTGCTTGTTATTAAATTCTCTCTATGCTAGTTTCCGAAGCTGCTGGCCTGGCCGGCTGCATCGTATTAGGATCTTTAGGAAGAAAGAAAAGAACAGAACATTGTATGCAGCGGAGCCAGCGATGATGAGATAGGGAAGCCAGCAATGCGTTTTGCTTTGGGAAGAGGACCCAAGGAGATAATTAATGGCTACATTTAAAACAAACATTTGCTTGTTTTATTGAGTTAATTCAAGCCATGAGATTCCTGGTTTTCGGGGAGGCCAGGTGAAGCTGGGGATAGGTTCCCACGTCAGCGCACTCAATGCTGCAGGAGGTCAATGTATGTTGCATTAATTGTTTGGGGGAAAAAAGCCACCATTAAAGTACAGGCATGTTTCTAATTTCTCAAAGCCTTGTCGAAAAGTCGTCTCTTCCCGTCTCCCACCCTAGCTATTGTATCTACAGCATGCCACCAATGACTGCTTTTCTATATACAAAAGTCTTACAAAGTCCTAATTCCATAGGACTGAATGCCTTCCATCACTGCGGGCACCAACCCTGATGGCCCAGGACACCTTACCAATTAAAAATGATGAGTTTTCAGAATACGGCTGCCAGGTATTTCCTGAAAATCAGGTCCCTTTGCAAGGTGTCCCACCTTCAGCTCTCATCAGATAGTGATTTGTGGAAGGAATCTTGGCTGAAAGCTCGTAAGCATTTTAGACAGACGGGAGCTGCTCAGATGCAAGAGAGCAGGAATTGATCCACAGTAGCCAAAAAGGAAAAATAGATTTTGCACCAAGGATCTTGAGCATTTTTGCCCTAGGATTGTCTGAGATGTTTAAGATGCTGGCTTCCTCCCGCTGACCTAGATCAATACAATCATAATTTTGCAGTCAATGAAAGCAGACATCTGGTTTGGTTCACAATCTGGGTTTGCAATTTGGTGTTTTAAGCACACTCCTCTCTCTATATGGCGCTGGCTGTTGAGGCTAATGGCAGTAGTTAAACTGTTCAAGCTAAGCCCAAGAATACAGTTCTTTCCCTCCACAAGATGAGAAATTCACTGGGAGGGGAAAAAAAAAAGAGTTGTCTTTTTTTTTTTTTTTTTTTTTTTTTTGTCCTAATAGGAAAATCTCCTTTCATCTCAGTTTTGGAGGAAACAAAAGCAAGCTGTGCCTGTAGCCCAGGTCACCCAGTGATTTTTGTGGCTGAGGGAGAGGAGTTCATCCAGCCAAGGGGTGCAGAGCAGCAGCGATGTGGCTGGGATGTGCCAGCAATTTTTCTCCCCTAACTTCTCTCCCCAGGTATGTTTTGGCTCACAGCAGCCAGTGGCCCACAGGGACTCAAAGCCCCGAGCTGCTGTTGGGCTCCATTTCTTCGTCTTTTGGCTATCAAAAACTGGGGAAAGGGAGGAAAGAGAATAACAAAATACTTATTTTTCCTCATTCTTCCCTTTGGGCTTTTGTACCACAGCTAATGATGTTTGGTGGGAGTCCATGTTTTGCAATTTATCACTTTGGCATGCAGATAAAGGGACTGCTGGTGCTATTGATCTCCTGCTTTTCCTTTGAGGCTGCAAACTCTGTGTTATTTGGTTGTGTGCCTTGGGGGCCTCCCTGGTGGCTGGGGCCTGAAAGGACTTAATCAGTCTCCACCCCTGTATTTGCTATATAGGTGCTGTATGGCCTCTGCTGTGGATAAAGACCCCTCCTTGGTGTGCTCCAAGGTCCTGCAGTGGAGAAGCACCACGAGATCCCTGCATAACAGCACCAACCTTTCAGCTGTTCTCAATTTCACTTGATTTTCCCAGGCTGCTTGCTGCTCAAAAGGTGAGCGACAGCTTGTCTTGGCAATACCCTAGCATCCTGGAAATACTGGAGGATTTCCTTTTCTATGTAAGTAAGAAAATCTCTCAGTTGAAAGCTTTCTGCTGGGCCTTGTTGTACATTCATTTTCTGTAAGTCTGACAAGAGCCCTCAATAGGATGTTGCTTTATCTTCTATCTTGCTCTCCTGATAAAACAAACAGCAGGAGAAATCTGTATACACTTAGAACCATGCAAAGGAACAGATGTGTAACGGGTGTCTAGGTTAAAAAATAATAATAATAAAAGAAAATCATTTTATATCTGGCCTGAAAAATTGTCAGAAAAAATACAATCAAGGAAAAAAACAGCTCCACCCCCATTCGTTTTCAGAACCTGAGACGTGACCATTTCAGGCCATGTTTTGTCTGGGAGTCTCCTTCCCCAGCCTGTGAGCACAATGAGGATTGTGTCTCAGGTATCTTGAAACTATTTTGCTACTGTTGGTGAATTTAGATGGGAAAAGCCAGGCACAAAGGGACTTAAGTGATTTGGCTCAATTAGCTATAATTTATGAATTCTAATTCCCAGTTGACTAATCACAGTATCACACAATGGCTGTGATTCCAGAAATTGCTTAAATATGTGCCTCTGCTCTACTGGATGTTAAACATGTGCTTAAAAATAGACAGATGGGCCACTTCTGAATGAGAAATATTATCCTCGATTCAGACTTGTTTCTTAAAAGCAAGCGAGCCTGGACATCACTTGGATTTAGCCCTTGCTTTGTGTTTACCTGTTCTGAGGAGGGAAGTGTTTGGAGAAAGGAGGGAGAGCTGAAGTCTGAAAAACTCGGAGGTTTTAAAAACCCTCTGCTCAAAGTCTTCCCGTGAGATGGGGGGCTGCAGGAGCTGCCATTCGGGGTCCTCCGGCCAGTGGGTCTCGATGAAGTGCTCAGGGTCAGTAAGGAAGAAGAAATCATCGTGTCTGCAGGGCGAGAGGAGAGGACACCGTGCAGGGTACAAGAATACCTTTAGCATATGGGAAGGGAGCTTCCCACACCCCAACAGAGCTGCACCAGCTTCAGTAAGGGAGGACTGAGCTCTCACTGAGCATTTCACTCCTATGCTCACATCCCACTCCAGGAATATGCTACCAAACCTCTGACCGTGTTGGCTTTGCTTCTTCTGAGAGCTGCAGCTTTGCTGGGGGCCTGAGCAGAGCCCTTCAGCTCTTGTTTTCCTTCCCTTTTCTTTTCTTTCATGGATCTTAGGGGTGTGGAGAGGATCCCTCTCTCAGCAGGTCAAACGCAAGGTTTGATTGCCCACAAAAAAATGGTCCAGCACCTTGTCCAGCTTGCCAACGCTGGGAGGGATCCTCCAGCACTTCTTTCCAGCCTAGATGCACCCATTTTTCCTGGAAAATGACTTTATAGACAGCTCTCCACACCCCGAATCCTGTGACCTCTTCCAAGAATGTACTCAGGACTTTTTAGAAAAGTACATCTTGGTTCCAGTTTGAACGTGCCCAGCCTGACTTTCCAAACATTGCCTTTGCTGGGGGGTCAACCTGCAGCCTTGTACTGGGGAGCCCTGTTACATCTGTCAACCTGAGGATTTTGAGGACTTTGACAGCACCTTGCAGGTAAAGGTCCCTCAGCCTGCCCAGCCTGGAGCAGATACCCCGGGGGACTCCACAAGGACCAAAAAGAAGCTGTTATCTCTGCCTGTTGCCATAGGTGATGGTTCTTCTGCTCTTTTTTTTCCCCCCATGCTCAGCTAAAAACAACCCGTGCTCACTGGTGTTATAAACTGTTTGCAGCAAGATAATTACCTATTAGAAATTCCACAATTATTTCATTACACATTATTAGAGAGAGAGGAAAAAAAAAAATTAAAAATGTCAGTCCCATAATATAGTTAATGGAAATTATTAAATTGTACAAATAACTTCCATGAGAGTCATTATTTGCTTAACATGGGCTGAGAAATCTGAAGTAATTATGTGTGGAGCCACATAAGAGTGAAGTTGCTGTGAAAACAAGGGTTTGTTTTGTCACCACGGATTAAAATAAATTTGGAAGAGGGAGAGGGACACGATGGGGGAGTTGTCACCTGAAAAGTTGCCCCCCTGGATCAGGGAGTAAGGAACTTGAAGGTAGGTGTTTAGACCCTATAGAGGGTCTCTTTTTGCACGAGGTCCCCGAGGACCCACCGTAGATAAGGGTGAGCATATTGGGGTGAATTTGAAATGTGAGCTCAAGGTCTGGCAAACATGATCTTTAGAGGGTCTACTGGAAGGTTTGGGATGACCATTTCCAAGGCCATGTTGAACCTTGTCGGTTTGCGTTGAGGGACGTGTTTCCAGCCATGGTGCGGGGTGGTGGTGTGTCTCACCTGGGCACGAACAACCTCCTCTCTGGATCCACGGTCCCCGCACCCCAGCAGGCATCCAGGAGGCACCACTGTCCTTCCAGCTCCACCGCATTCCACATGTGGCCCGTCTTCTGCTGCTGGCACCACTGGCCTCCATGGGCACCAAGGCCCCGGCCGAAACCCGGGACCTCCACGCAGCTCAAACCTGCCTCCCTGCCCAGGGGAGACAACCACTCAACAACCACTGCTTTCCGCCTGCTTCTTGCAAACCAACCCAAACTGCACGGCAAATTTCGTAGAATCATACAACCATCGAATATCCCAACTTGGAAGGGACTCATAAGGATCATCGAGTCCAACTCCTGGCTCCAATTTGACATCCCCAAATCCAAGGTCCCATGTTTGTGGCAGCTGTTGGCCAAATCCAGCTTTCAGCCAGCCTCCTGCTCACCCAGCCTACTCCCAAACATCAGTCCTCGTATCTCAGATCCTGGTTTCTCCATCAAACCCATCCCTACTCCTCCATCCAAGCAGGAAAGGAGGGAGGGATGCAGTGGGTAAGTGATGCCGGTTACGTGCCAGCTGTAGGTCTCCCACTCGGATCTTTGATGGGGCAGGAGGAGAAAGCCCAAAGTGAGTTTTTACCTGCACATTTCCCGGCACAAATGGGCATAACCAGAACACACAGCTTTCCCCGTCTGCAGAACCTGCTCTGGCACGTGGATCTTCTGAGACAACCCCAGGAAGCCATCCACATCGTATTCTAGGAAAGGGAGAATACCACCCAATTTCAGGCCAACATATGGATTTATTATTCCCAAACCGATCCCATTCCTTCTCCTGCCCAACCCTGTTTCTCTGCCTACCCACCCTGGAAGCCATGACAGCTCTTCTCTCCGTAGTTATTCAAGAGCTTGACAATTCCCCATATGCGCAAAGAATTGCTAACGCCTTGGGGGAATTGGATCCCCAGCGCATGTAAACAGCGGTTGCGCCATTCAAGTGAGGTACAGTGACAATCACATTGTCTCGCACACATGGATGTAGTAGGGTAAAGTAGCACGAAGCGGCTGCATTGTGCTGAGATTCCTGTGTCCCCAGATGACTGCTGCCAGGCATAGCTCGGCTTCCTCGGGCTCGCACCACGCACGCATTATCAGGGAGATGCCCTCGGGTGCGTTGGAGCTGAGAGCACTGGAGGTGGGTGGGCTCAACCGGTGTCCCTGGGGGTCTGGTACCCAGCAGGTGTCATTTTCAGGATGGAGGGTCCCAGTTTGCGACTATTTCCCACCCCAGGCTCTTTCCCAAAGTCAGGAGGGGATTATTTCAATTTGTAATTGCTGTAGGAACACCGTAAAGTCTGTTCTGCAGGACACGGAGAGCCTAAATCCAGGAGGTGGCATCCAAGGAAAGGGCTCTCAGCTCCATCACACCACTACAAAACAGCAGGACCAGACTTACCGATGTTATGGCAGAGCCAAAACCATATTGCCCGCACCATCTCCAGCTTGCTCTGGGATTTGGCAGTGATGAGGGGAACGATGGCCTGGACGGACATCCTGCTGTGCCCAGATTTCAGCTGCAATGGAGAGGACAGGTGAGATCGAGGCACTCTTGGTGTCACCACCACACGGCTGGGTGACTGCTGATATGATGGGCTCGCTGGAAAGAAAAGCTACATCACGAAAACCCCAAAGTGGCATTTCCCACCCCAGAATTTAAAATGCAAAAATCTGGTTTGTGGTAGAACAGGGTATTTTCCCCATTTTCCTAGCACGGTTTTATGAAAGCCTAAGGTCTGGAGTTGCAAGCTGGAGGAAATGAAGGTGGGGTTTCCCATTCCTTTGGTGGGAGGCACAGTGTCACTGCTCCAGTGTCCTCTCCGCCTGGTTCAAGGCATCCTCTGGCCCAGAGGGTCTTTTCCTGGAGGTGAGTCTGCCACATTTCTGGGACATAGAGTTTCCAGCCCCACACCGATTAATTTCTCAGTGTATTAACACCGAAGAGGAGCATCCTTGTGGCTCAGATCCTCTTCTCAAGACTGTGAAACTTCAGCCAAATCCATACAACAAAATGGGTGGAAAAAAGATTTTTGCCCCTAACACTAAAAATTCCTTAATTTCTTAAAAGCCTTTCTGCCCCTTTCCTCCCATTGACTCATTGACATTTCTGTGCTCTTCCCTTCTTTGTGCTAGCACAAGCATTTTTAGCAGCAGGCTTTTCTTTCACTGGGTTAAATTTAGTCCAGCTGATTTCTCCAACCTCCTGCCCCTGCTATTTTACTCCTCAATGTCTTTCCTGCCCCAACCATGTAAGATATTTTCACACAGATGGAAATTTCTTTCTTTTAACATATGGGAAGTGTTGCATTTGTAATTGCTAAAGATTTGCTTTGGGATGCTGAGCTTGGGATGCTGTTAGATATCTAGCTACCTGCTTCCCTGTTGGCACGTCTTGGTGCAAATTCATCCCAAATCTATTCTCTGTTTCAGCCAGAGATGGTAGAATTAGGTCCTAGATTGAGAGTTGCCCTATTCCCAGGTAATCCTGGCCCTGAATAAGCCTGAGGACCCTGAAGAATTGGAGCAGAGCTTCTTGGTTCACAGGATCCACAGAGGTATTTGGCAGATGGGTCTGTTTTCCCCCAAACCACCCAGGCAGTAACCTGGGTGCATGCAGACAGCCCCCAGGCTGCTCCTAGATGGCCAGAGATGTGATACCCAACTGGTGGGCAGCCAGCAAGCTCTGCCCGTGCTCTTGGCACTCATAATTCCCATCCAAGGAGAAGAGACCAAGTACACAAGGTTTTAGTGAGGCTTGCACCTCAAATAAACAGCGAAACACGCTGTTCCCATCACTCCCCATTGCCTTGGAAATATTTTTGGTAGTTTATTACCTTCTTTCTCCTCCCTTCCAACTCCCTCCCCCTCTCCTCTCTTTTTTAATAGACCAGGTAGTCTATGAAGTACTGCCGCATCCTTCTTCCCAAGGGAGATTAGCCTCAGGCTAGGTAGAAATTACAGGTTTCAGCTATAACGGAGAGCACAGCTATTCCTTGTGCCTCTTCGCTCTCACTAATGAGTTGATGTGTACGCTGCGAGCTCGCTGCTTAGACAAATTGTACCAGCCCTGGGGGAGAAATTATTACAGCAGCACCGGGTTTAGGGTAAGAGGAAGGAATTACATAATTTGGTGCTCTCCTTCTGGGCTCCCACGCACCTGGAAAGGGGGAGCATGATATAACAGACCCCTTGCACCCTTCTAGAAAGGTCTTCAAGATCCTTTTATCCAAATCCAATCCTGCCTGGGGTCCTGTGATGCCTGTGCCATGATGAAGCCAGCCCTAATGCCCAGGTTTGGCCACCACCTTGCCACTGCTGTCATCAACTTGTGGTAAAAGCTGAAGTTGAGGACACGGACCTGCAGAGGGACACCAGCACCTACCTGCTGGCTCACGTGTAGGACATGGGCGTCCACGTGGCTGAAAACCTTTGAGTCAGAGAAGAGATCCCTCCTGGTCTTTCTTGGGGGATTTTTTGCTGATTTCTCTTCTTCCAAGCTGCTAGGCCCTTCCTTGGGAAGGAGAGCAGGAGAGACACTTCCTGAGGTCATGGATGACTTCTGCAACACCTTGTGGAAGGTGGCCCCTTGGCCACTGCCGTTCACTTTGTTTGCCCAAAACAGGAAAACATCCCTGGAGGGGGAATCCTTGGGCTCATCCCTTACTTTCTGCGCAGTTGGGATGTTCTTTAGCACCCCATCCTTGTTCCTGTTCCTTTTGGTGTCTCGGCGGGGGAGTTTCTCTGGGGTCTCAGGGTTGATCTCTTGAGAAACATGTCCCAGGGACAAGTTGCCATTACAGACATCTGATGTCTGAGCCCCCCGCTGACCAGGCACGGTGTCTCCTGCCGGTGGTGGCATCTCGTTTTCTTTCTGGCTCCTGGGATGGGTCCATCTCCCTGGGCTTCGGGTGGGTTGTTTTTCATGGTGGCTGCCGTTCCTGGAGTGAGGGGAAAGAACCGGCTCGCTTGCTTTGGCGGTGTGGGATTTGGATGACTTGTCTCTGTCGTGGCTGGTCTTCATCCCTGCAGTAGGTAACGGGGTGGAAAAACCACCGAGGTCTGGGGATGGAAAGGGAGATGAGTCTTTTTTACAAAAGAAGAATATAGTCTGAAATGATTCCTTCAGAGCCTGCCTGTCTGCATGCTTAAATGGAGCAAATCAGGATTTGGTCAGCAGAATTTAACCAAAAGTACTGTTTTTTCCCTAATTCCAGCAGAAAGATAAGATAGAAATGCCACAGAGAAGCCCTTGACAGGTTTCCAAGTGCAGATATATATATTTTTTTTAATACATAGATGCAAACTCACTGGTTGACCATCAGTCATTACATCTCTGCACAGGAAGGAAATGGATAAATCAGGGTTATTTCTTAGGCAAACAAATGGACAGGAGGCATTTGTGTGTGTTGGAAGTGTCTGTGTTTGGGCACGTGCCTCAGTTTCCCTGCATGAAACTTGGACTGATCACATAATATTTTTCCTCGCCTATAGAGCTAAGAATCAGGATAATAAAGAGTTAATAAAATTAGTATTTAGGTGCTCCAAAGGGGTCAGTTTTTCATCAAATCCTTCCTTCGGGAGGACCCCCACATTCCACCCCAAATATTTATGCTCAGACTTGCTTCTTCTTTTCAGGTTCTGCAGAAAAAAAAAATGACATTTTTTGTTTCCCTGCTTTGCATTTGAAATGTAGCTGAGTTGAGCAAGAAGGCTGTGGGGGAAAATAGGTGAAAAAGCAGAAGGAAAGGTGCAATCCAGGACCAGTGGGGTTGTTGGGTTAAAGCTGTGGGCAGAGCCAGCTCTCGCGTGCCCTCGGCATCTGCACAGCGCCCGCTGGTTTTATCTTGGTTTAGCTTCTATTTGCTGTTGTTGTTTTTAATCACGAAATGACTGTTTGTGCCATGCAAACAGCAGAGCCTGCTGTGAGGCACTCGGCGTCGCCCAGAAATGTCACTCCCGGCCTCTCCCAGGCAGGCTGGCTTTCAACAGCTGCGCCGGGGCGCTGGCCCCAATCTTCCAGGAAAGAGGGATGTCACTCGTCCCTCCCGGTGCTGCCCAGATTGTCCCCACTCTGCTTGGGATGAGCCTTGCCGAGCTGGGACGGCCTCATCCAGAAGGGATGACAGAGGTCGTGACTCCCAGGCTCGCCAAAATTAACACGTGAATGCACGCCCCATCGGCGTGCAAACGGCACCCGTGGGTTAATCCAACGCTGGGTGCTCAGATAACCAGAGGACATCCCCTAGGTAGGTTTGTAGGTGGGATGCTCGTCTTTTCAGGGCTCCTGCAGAGTTTCTGCAGAAGCCGTACATTTTTCCTATTTCCTCCCGGACCACATCTGAGCCCAAGGAGACGAATTGTTGGTGCCCAGCTGTTGACACGTTGGAGCTGTCCCCGCGTGTGGGAGCTGCTGGGCTCCCCAGGGCACAGCCACCCGCTGTCAGAGGCAGAGAGGCGTTTTGCCTGCCACTTTCTAAGTGAGCAACAAGAGGCCACTTCTGGGCCCTTCACGGTCGTTACCTGACATGAACCGGGGCTCGGTGACTCAAAAAAGAGTTACCGAGAGTTTTCCCAGCAGGTCCTGGGAAGCGCAGGCTCAGAAAGAGTGGAACAACCCAGATGAACGAAAACGTGGAAATCCCCACTTTCTTAGTCTTATTTTGTTAATCTGAACACTTTTGCTTAGGTTGAAACTGAATGTTTTGTTTCCATTCCGTGTCACTCATGTATTTGTGGCTTTAAAAGAAATTTAAGCAAAAGCTCTGCTTTAACATCTCTAAGTGGTTTTCTCTCCCCATGCCTTAAACTCAATCCTCCAGACACAACCCCTAGCTCAGAAGCCCCTAAATCATTACTTGTAGTCCTAGAAGAGAAGCAAGACTGCTGCTTTATTATTTTTCCCCTCAAATTTCATCCATGGTTGCATGAGAGCACTGACCCCAAAGAGCACTGTGCCACCTCCCCTTGCACCCGCCGATGTCCCTGAGGTGCCACCATGTTAACCCACAAAATGACAGCTCCAGAGGAGGAATTTCATCCCCAAGGGGAGCTGTTTCAGCTCCAAGGGGATGCTGCAGAGAGAGGAGAGGTGGAGAAGGACGGGCTGCTGGTGAGGTTTGAATGGGATAAGCACCCCGTGCCTCCCCAGGGACGGTTGGGCTATCAGCGAGCCACTATCGTGTTCCCAGCCTGGCATTTCGGTCTGCCCTGTCCGTGTTTTTAATGTCAGGAAGGTGGGAATCGCATTCATAAGCTGCAACAGCATAGAGGTCAAATGCTCCTCAACAGGAGCAGAGCCACGTTGGACCCTGGCCAGCCCAGGTGGAGACACTGCACTTGGTCTGCTATGGTGAGGAAATGGATGGAGCCAAGAGCATCAATGCAGAAAAGTGGCAAAATGATGGGAAATAACCCCAAATGGGGTTGTTCCTACTCACCCTGCTCACGCTGCTGCCGTGGCTCCCCGCTGCTGGCAGAAGGCAGGCAGCTCCTGCTGGGCCCCATCCCTTTTATACACGTACCAGCACAGGGCTGGCTCTTTTTTTTGCACCTTGCTCTTATCAGGAGGGCTAAAAATACTATAAAGCGCCGGCGAACGTGTTAACGTCGCTGCCACCAAGCAAAGCCTCTGTGAGCCTGGCACTTCTGCAGCGTGTGTATGGGCTGGGGCGTATTTGCAGGGAGATAGGGGAGAGGGAAAAGGTTTTCTCTTATCAGCAGCCAGGCTTTGGCAGGGCCAAAGTGTCAGTCCCCCTGTCTGGGAAGGGCAGCTGCCCAAAGGTTTGGGTGTTTGTGCAGGTTTGCTCCTGCTCTCAGCACCTTTCACTGCTCTCCTGTAATTTCACCATCCTGCTCCTGGTGTTTCACCCTCCTGCCTTTGCCCTAAGAGGTGAGGGAAGCCAAGAGCAGATTTATCCAGGGCTGGCGGGGTTGTCCTCCACTTGTTAATTGCAGTTGGCGATGCACAAGGTCTTACTACCTTGTGAGATGCTCGCTGAGCAATTCCCAAAGCCTTTGCAATCATCTGTGTCTATCCCGAGCTTATTGCACCCCTGATTTTCCCACTCATGTGCAAAATTCCCCTTGCCATAAGGCTGCATCTGCAGGAATGGAGGGTGAACTTTTTATTCAATCTTTGCACAGCATGGGTTGCTTTGCAGCTTTTTTCCTTAACTTGGTATCCTGGGAAATCTCCAGTGCACATTAGAGATAACATCTCATAGAGGTGACCAAAAACTTGAAGCATGGAGGTCAGAATACTGTTCTTTGTTATTATCTAGCTGTGGTCCACTAAGTGGCATCATATCCCTTGTTTCTGCTCACTCTGTCCCAAATATTGAAAATTTTCTTGATCAAACAGGAAATAATAAGGGAGGAAACACAGTTGCCAGCTGAAAGGGAGCACATTCTTGGAAAAGAAATCTCAGTCTTTGGCTGAAATTGGAGAGAATAAAACGAAAAGGAGAAAAAGATTACTTTGGAAAAGAGGAGAGAAACATTTTGTATAAACTCTCCCCAGTTCTGAGTCGTCTTTAAGTGGGGAAGGAGCCCACAGCCTGCTGATGCTGCAGGTTCTCCCCTGCTCCCCTCTTGGCACGGGGTCGGTGCCGTTCTGGAGGTGTCAGAGCCCAATGTGTCATCTCGGTGCCAGCACCGAGACCTTCCTAATTTGTGGAAAATGGTTTCAAAATGAAATTTTTGCAACAAGCAGGACTTGGCACTAGGAAGCTGGGGACAAGAGTCTGAAATATCATAGCATGAAGATGTCCCAGTGGCCATTGAAGGCTCTGTTTTGCAACCTGACCCTCTCTGCCCAATCCAGAGATCACCAAAATGCTGCAAAAGGATCCATAAGGCAAGGGGTCATAAGAAATGTCTGTCTGGCACCAGCCCCTTCATTAATCTCATACCATGCTCTTCCTTTTCACCCAGTTGGTTTAATATTAATTTGTGAACAACCCCTCTGGCTAACGAAGTCCTGGAGTCAGGGCATGAGCCCAAGCTTCTGGGTGACCGATGAGAGCCATGGGACTCCTAGGTGAGACAGGAGGGGGCAAGATAGCAAAAACACCTAATTTCTTCCTTATTTCCAACAGTGGAAAACATGTGAAGAGCATCAAGATTTAGACAGAGTTGACCTGAGCAAGACAAGGAGCTAAAAATACTCTTCCAGAGAGGTGTTTGCGTGTGTGATGGAGGCAAATTTGCATCAGCTGAGCTAGGGCTGCTGATGATTTGATCTGTGTTGTCCGGGTATGGCAGGAAGGGTGGGTTTGTAGGGTGAGGTGTAGCTGCTGGTGGGTGGTTTAGGATGGGACCAAGGTGGATCTGGTTGCACTGTCCCCACCTTGGTTGCACACCATGGTAGAGGGCTGGTAGACCTGCCCCGTTGGGTTGGGTGCAACCCTTGGGCCATACCCATCCCTGTGAGGAGACATTTCGGATAGACATCTGTCTATAAACGGGGTCTCATCCTGTTCACTTCTCCCTGAGCACCCTGGGATGTACAGGATGAATCCAGCTCCGTGCCTGCTCGAGGGACTGGCCGTGAGCTCCCGACGGAGGCGAGGGATCGTGGCAGCAGCTCTGCAGCCTTCTCATGCAGAGCGCGGTTGAGAAAGTAATTTTCATTGTAATCTTTTATTTTGCTAGTGAAGCCTTCCAGACTCAGGGAGTCTCTTGGCTCTAAAGCCGGGAGCTAGTTTTTGGGTTATTTTTTTGTTTTATTTTTTTATAAAGCACTCAGCAGGAATCCAGGATTTAAGAGACGAGAGAGAATTGCTCGCTCTGCAGATATTGGCAGCGAGCCGCTTTTCCAGTTTATTTCCCTGGAAAGAGGGAATGAATACATGGAAATAAAGCACAGGCAGTATTTTAAAAGCCTCCAGACCGGCACCTTCACCTAACGCAGGTCCGGGCTGTTTTTTTGGGCATGCAGCCTTCTTCTCCTGGCAGACCCTGAGCAGGGGGCAGGCAGGGAAATCCACGGCTGCTTTGGAGACCTGTGCAGTGAGGTGTGTTGGAAAGACAACGTGTCTGCCAGGAGGGCACACCACCCCAAATCATCCAGGTGGGGCTGAATTCACCCCAGCCACTCCAAAGACAACACCGAGTTGTTCTTGCTGCCAAAAAAAAAGAAAAAAAGAAAAAAGGAAAAAAAAAAGATTTTCTTGGAGTTTGCAATTTTCCAGTCTTCACAGGACAGTCACTGGACATGGGTTACCCATTGATCCGCTTGATTTAAAAGCCATGGACCAAAATCCGCACACTTTTGGGGTCAGGACCATCTTGTGGTTTGTTTGTACAGCACCTCAGGTGTTGGGGTTAGTGTCTAAGAGGTGCTGCTCACATCTAACAAGTTTATAGCTGTCCCAGCCTGGGAAGGCTTTGTGTTCTGGGGTGGCCTCTAAGAGCATGAGATGTAAGCGAGCAAGAGAGACAAAAAAGTGTGTCTTTTGATGTGGAGGTCTCTTTGACGCTAAGATGTTCACAGATTTATGTGAAGGCAAGACATTGGGGTGAAAAAAGGAATAGAAAACTGGGATTCTGACTTCTTGGCTGGGTTTGTGAGCTAAATCGCAGAGACCTGGCATCTCCTGACCTGACGGGGAGCAGGGGGGATGATGCCTGTGTTTCTTGGATGCTCTCGCTGCAGGGACTCGACCTCACAAGGCTTTACCTGCTCTCAGGTGAGCCCTTTCCATGGGGCAGCACTGGGAACAGCCCTGCAGTGTTGTGGGAAGACTTCCCAAGGGGCTTGAGCTCCTGTGTGGCAGAGCCCTGCTGGAGTTGCTGTGGTGCAAAGGTTTTAAACTTTACATTTTAAGGGTAATAAAGGAAATAATACATCAGACGTGTCAGTCACAGAGTTCTTTCACCTTACGCACCACTGTCTTTGACGACCTTTTCCAAGTGCTTTCTTTTAATGAATTATTATTTTTTGCAGACTGAGGAAGAACCAGGGCTTTCAACAGGTTTGTTACACCATAACACCCTTCTCTTCTTTTCTTTTCTTTTTTCTTTTCTTTCTTTTCTTTTTTTTTTTTTAATTTTTTTTTTTTTTTTTTTTTTAGTATTCCTTTCAGGTGAACACTTGAACCAGAAATGAGTCAAAAGCACAAAAATACCCCGCAGGGACTGGGCATGTTCTGCTTCGCCAGCTCACAGCAGCGACGATGTGTTTGATGAGCTGGGAAGAGCTGTCCCCTCTTGGAGCCCGCCTCCTGGCACCGAGCTGCCACCAAAAACCTTTGAAGCCTGGACAAGTATTTAATTGACATCACTGAGTATTGTCGTGCTGAAGACGCCAGGCTGCCACAAAGTGAAGGGACAAACAATGTAAGGGACCTTTTGTCTTTGGGGAGGCTGGGGTAGCACAGCCAAGGATGAGAGCATGCTTGGTCCTGGGTGTGCGCTTTCATGCTTTGCTGCCCTGGTGTCTGAGCTTCTTGTGGCTCCTAGGATTTCCTGAAATTTCCTGTTAAAGGTCGTTACTTAAGGTCTTTACCCAGCAATAAAGTCATTTTTGGTGCTGTTTTTTTTTTGTCTGGTGATACAGAAAGTCACCACAGCATCACTGAATACCTTGATTTTGAAGGGAACCACAAGGACCATCAAGTCTAACTCCTGTCTAGCCAGGGGTCAGCTCATCCACAGGGACACATTAAGGGGGTCTGAAGGTCTAACAGGGAGAATGACTGGTTTCCATCTCCAGTTGCAGGTCCCAGTCTGGAACTGGTGCACCGTGAAAGCCTTAGCAGTGCTTATCTCAAAAGATAGGAGTTGTTCTATGTATCTAGTAAGGCTCTCAGCGTGGGATACATTTCCAAAAGTGAGTCTTGGGGAAAAGGTGGGGAAAATTTCGGACAAAACCTCTGAGTTCTTGAGATCTGTTTCCCAGAGAAAGGCATATTGTCCATGAGGTCCACGTGGATGCCACGGCAGTTTCCAGACACAATGTTGGGCTGTGAGAATGCAAAACAAATTTGCTTGTGCTGCTGCTGCCTGCAGATCTGTCAGCAGAAGAGGCCAGATAATAACTGCAGGTGTAAAATGGGAAATAAGCATCCTAACCTGCACGAGCAATGTTCTTCGTGTCATGTCTTCTAGTTTTGCACTTGTTCTTGTCTCCTTTTCACCCGCTGTAGGTCACATCTGAGTTGGAGCAGACAGGGCAGGCTGTTACAGGAGGTGTACTCCCAGAAACATGCTGCTCGTGTCTATTTTCACTCGTCCCTGCTTTGTGTGTGGGAAGAACAAACGATCTATCCTTGCAGATTCAAAGGAAGGGAGAAAATAAACAATATTTTAATGTAGCATCTTGCTTGAAAACTGAAACTCCTGGATTTTGAGCCAGAGGTGGCTCTGCAAGGAAAATACGTGGCTGCCAGACCTGGCACAACCACCAGGCAGGGGATAACTCTGAGATGAGTTCCCATCCCACCTCCAGGAGTTTCAAGGTGCAATTCACCCTCCACAGGAGCTCGCCCATTGA